TTGATTTAGAATTATTCAAATTATATATACAACCTTATCCATATATCACTATATGTCAGTAGCTTCTTTTCTGAAAAAGTCTGCAAAATAACCTTTTGAAAATATGAGAAATTAAAACCTATAATTTTCTTGATCAGAACAATTTATTATGCTCAAGCAATTCTTTACATACACATAACACTAGAAATGTTATAGTAATTTCTTGGCATATTTCTTTCATGCTTAGTGATTTAAATTTGAAGTATTTTCTTCATATCAATTATCAATCCAGTGAAAGCATCATGAAAAATGGAAAATGCTATAATTATCTGAAAAAGAAAAAGTAAATCAAACTGCTAAACAAATATATTCCCTTTCTTTGTACAGGGTACTTTAAAAGTTTGTATTTTCGACTTACAGAAGAGTAGCAAAAACAGTAGAAAGAGTTCAAGTACACCCTTCGCCCAGCTTCCCCTAATGTTAACATCTTATATAAGCAGAGAATTACCAAAACTAAGAAATTAACATTGGTACAACAATATTAACTACAGACATTTTTCAGATTTCAGCAGTTTTCCCACAAACATCCTTAAAAGATTTTTTTTTTTAATTTCTTCACAAGAATTCCAGATTCACATGGTTATGTTAAGGTTAAATGTATTCCAAATACTACTGTAGTTGAAACAAAGGGCCAAGTCTGTATTTCTATTTCTGCAAACCAAAGCTTACTTAACAGAATATAACCTATCAGAACCATTGTAATGTAGAACTAAACACTTCACTGTATAATATATGTTACAACTGGGCTTTTAAGAAATTGGGTCAAAGAGGAATGACTTTCCAACTCTTTGGCTTCTCACCCTGGAAAAGAGACTTTCAAGCAAAAATAAAATGACTTAACATTCTTCCTTATATCTTACTTTCTTACCAAAGTTATTTTTAGTGAACATTAAAAAGCCTAGAAGACAAAGTGAAACTCCACTATTTTGCCTAACAATTTAGAAACTGTAAAGATGAAAAACAATTTTTTTAATGAAATGTTCACAGTAAATAAAGTCCTCATGGGCCAAAATAGTAATTCTTTCCTCCTCAAGTTTAGCACTCTATTTCTGATACCTGGTGACCAGATTATGTGTAGTCCTACCTCCTGAAATGATTAACAATCTTAATTCCAACCCCATTCCAAAAGAGGACAGGAGAGTACTGAAGAAGGGGAATAGCAGAGTGTCTTGTGTATAAATCTTACTTATACAAAAAACCTCCTCCGATTATAGAAATCTTCATGATTTACTCCGTTGGGTGGCCTACAGAAAACCCAGCCTAGAAAATGCAAACCAAGACCTAACTTTTAACAATCATTCCTCTCCCCGCTTTCCTATCGCACTCAGTTCACACACAATTTGAATGTTTGCAAATGATCAAAATGCACAGTAGTAATTTATTCAACAAACAGTGAGTGCCTGTTGGGTCTAAGACTCTATGTTAAGTGCATTTTGAAGAACAAAGAAGAAAAACAAAATGACTTTGTCTTCAAGTATCTTACAATCTAGATCTTCTATCTCTAAAATTGATTCCCAAGGCAGGTGAAAAGCAGTCAATTATTACAATTTCTGGTATACTCTTAAAAAGAATTAAATGGCAATGCCATTCCTAGCATCAGAACTAATTTTCCCAACATATGGGGAAAAAAATAACACCCTGACTTTTGCAAGGCATTAAGTGCTTCACACACCCATACTACCTAAAACTCAAGGTGGAGAGAAAAAAAATGTAACAAAATGCAACAACATATCTGATCCTTGCACACATGAAATTTGCCAACTTCAAACTTTTAAAATTTCAACATTTTTAAGCAATTGCTTGGATACTGCCCTTTATTTACCCTTTACCCACTAACATACCAGGATAATGCTTTTTTTCTGAAAAAGAAATACTTCAGTTAATGGTATGATAACTCAAACAAATAGAAAGACATATTTCCTTCCAAAGAAAAATTAGGCTAAATTTTAGTAAGAGTTTATGTTGGTTTGACTGACCATTTAAATCAGCCATAACAAGGACATAGGTCAGTACTACTGAGGCTGAAATAGTTTTTTAGTGATGGAGGACTCATGGTTTAAATAAGCTATCTAAATATTTGTCTCACCTCCCTTGCACACAATTTAAAAATTCATCCAAACAATATTTGACACAGCTTAACTTTAAACAAATCCCAGGAGGGAGTTATTACGGGTCTTAAGAGAAAACCATCACTAAGACCCTCAGACTTGGTTTCTAATACTAATAATTAGTTACATGGCTCTCAAACTGGCAACTGCTACTCTATTATTCACTAATAAGAACGCAGGGCGAAATCTGCATCAATTTTATATCAGAAAGCAGTGGATCATTATGTTAAACCCTCTGGAACACGTGCAATTGCCAGACGGTTAAGGAAATACTAAACTTAGGGAAAGGGTATTTGTCTACTGAAGTTGATGGTTCGGGTTTCAAAGCGCAGAACAATCCGATGACTAAAGCTCCACTCCATCTCTGAGGCCAACTGTGGTCAAGGGTCCTGCAGATCAGCAACACACAAGACACAACCCTCTGTGTCCTCTGTGTGTACAAAGGACCAACAGCCAATAGTCCTAAACGCCAAAAAAATAAAAACTTGTTTCCACGTCCCAGGGGGCCAAACGGCTTTTAATGTTTTAAATGTGCTCTTTACTATTAATGTTTCCTTCATCAAATAAAAAACATTAAAAAAATAAAACTTACTCATTCCTCCCAAATAAACATAGAAACTTATTTGGCAAACCAAGTTTAGAACCAAATAGCAAGATTTTTTAATTAAACGAAAAAGATGAAAGCCCACTGTTACCAACGTATGTGGACCTTAATGAAATAATTAACACAAGAAAGAAGGCATGCAAAGGTGCCAGCATTTGCCATCTATCCACGCCTGTCCTCCAGGTAGCGAAGAGACCCTGGAGGTAACCCGGTGACACCGCGCTGGGTTCGGCCCAAGCCTGACCCCGGCTCGGCTCCACACACCCCGCCGAGCGCGTGCAGGCACCCGCGCCCAGGCTCGCTCCCGCGCCCGTCCGGCTCTCCCACCTGGGCCCGGCAGCCCGGCTGGGTTAACAAGTTGCCGCCAGCCGCGCCGCTCCGCTAGGGGGCAGAGAGTGGGGAAGGGGAGCCCGCCGGGGCGCCGGACCACGGCGGCCCCGGGCCTGGGGGCCGGCCCGCTCGCTCTGCGGCCGCCGAGTCCTCCCGCTGGGACCGACGAGGAACGCCCGCCTGCCCTCTCCGGACGCGCCGCGCGGCCACGGGGACCTGCCGAGGTCGCAGCCGCGCGGGCAGGGGCAGCAGGGAGGGCAGGGCACCGGAGACCGCCGCCGGAGCCGCCGCCGGGTCCGGGCGATCGCTGCGGGCACAGCCGAATACCCGCGGCCTCGGCCTGGCCGCTGCTCGGGTCGGAGGGGACCGTGCAGCGCCTACGCCCGGCGGCTACAGCCAGGAACTTCAGGCAAAGTTTTCTGTTCCTTCTGGAGCCGGCCAGGGACTTGGGAGTAGCAGCTGCCCGACCCCGAGCACAAGCCCAGGCCCTGGAGGGACAGGGGCCGAGGTGGGGGGCTCCCGGCGGGGGCGGCTCGCCCGCGAGGCCCCTCCGCTCCGCCGGCCGAGTGCTCCGCTAATGCCTCCCCTCCGGCCCCTCGCCCGGCGCCCGCTGACGGGCAGGCGCGGTGCCCGGCCCGCCGCGCCCCCGCCCGGCCCCGACGCCCGCCTCGCGCTCTCCCACCCAGGAGCTGCCGGCATTCCGGACGCCCCGCTCCTGCCCGAGCGCCCTGGGGCGGCAGAGACTGTCCGCTTACCTGAGAACGTCTCGCCTGCTGCAGTTAGCAAAAGTCCGGCCAAAGTCGCCAGGCAAGTCCCAAGTCTCCTCATGGTGCCTAGTGCGCGCCGGGCCGCTCCCGGCGGCGGGTGGGCGCGCGAGGGCAGAGTGGGGACGGCAGCTTTGGTTTCAAGGCAGTGAGGAAGAAGGGTAAACGGCGCGGCACCGAGCCGAGCCCCAAAGTGCCAACAGTTGCAGAAGTCCGAACTCCGGCGGCTCTCGGGGCGCGGGGACAGGGTTCTGCGTCCTCCTCCCCGGCCCCTGGCCCCACTCGGCGTCTGGCGCTGCTGCGAGAGGGAGCGGAGGGCGCGCCCGCGGAGCCAAAATCCTCCCTCGGTTCCGGCGGCTGAGTCCGCCGCCGCTCGCCTTCCCCTGCCCGGGACCCGAGCCGCCGGCCGTGGCGGTGGCGGTGGCCGCGGCTGCGCGCGTCCTGCCCGCCGCCTCTCCACAGGCAGCCCCGAGCCCAGCCCCGGGCGGCGGCGCGCCTTTGGCCGAGCCCGCGCCGGCTGCGCGCGGGGCTCTTGCTCCCCGACTGACTGGCGGTGCCCTGCAGGCCGGCTGAAGGGAGCGCCCACGTCACGGCCGCCCGGCGCCGCCGCGGCCCGCTAGAGGGCGTGAGCGCCCGCGCCCCGCCAGTCGGTGGCCCGACGCTCGGCCGCCGGCGCCTCCGGGAGCTTGGCTGGGGGCGGCCCCGCGGCCACCGCCGCTCTCGCCGCGGGTGCAGGCGTCAGCCGCGCGGGGACGAGCGGCCACACGGGTTGCCACCCTTTCCCCTCCTCGGCCCGGCCGCGTCTTCTGTTTTGGTGGCTGGCTTGGGGGAGGGTGACTGTGGAAGGGGTTGCGCCTTAGCCAGAAGTTTGTCCCGGTCACGAGCCCCGAGTAGTTTGTGAGAGCGGCGGGGCGGGACCAGCGGCCTGCGGTCAGGCGGCTCAGTGCCCGCCGCCGGCGCCTGACGGCAGTGTCACCGAGCAGGGCCAGCTACACCCGGAGTCGCAGGCCCGCGCTCACCGGCGGCTGAGGGAAAAGCGAGCGAGGCTATCCGGGAGGCTCGGAAGGGCTGCGGGCTTCCCTGCGCCGCGAGCGGAGGGAAGTTGGCGGGCGCCGGGAGATGGAGCGGGAGCCGAACCCAGGGCGGCCCCGGGAGGGAGGGAGGCAGGCGCGCCGCTATCCCCGAGCCCCCGAGCCTCCGGCACGCGGAACGCAGGGCGTGCTTGTGCCGCTTCATCTTGTCTCTGTGCCCCGCGAGGGCCCGGAGCGAGCCGAGGGCAGTGCACCGAAGGCGGCAGTCACACCAGAACGAGGGTTTGGCCACAACCCTTCATTTCTGTATTTGGTGCAAAGTGCTGAGAAACAGGAGGAAGAGAATTGGGGAGTGCATCAAATAATGTCTTGAAATATTTTAATTTACTATTTGAGGTCTGAGATAACTATTTTATAAAGTGAATTAAAAAACTTGAAATGCTTCAGTAAAAAGTAAATTTAAAAAAATTAATCTTAAACATTTTTTATTACATGATTCTTCTATCTCCCCGGGAATAAGCACATTGAGCTAGCACCAGCTGTAGGCTCCTGGCCTAGCTAACTGAAGACAATAGAGGGCTTGGGAAGAGGTTAAATTAGAAACCAAAGCAGCAGAGTCACAGGGTGTTCTAGCAATGATGCCACCTCCCCCCCAGAAGGCAAATCTGTGATGCAAGGGTGCCCAAAAGCTCTCCTGCACCTTCCACCAGAGGGGTCCTTTGCTCAGCCCTTCACCGCTTTATAGTGCTTGTGAAGACCTAAGAAATAAGTTGATTCCATGCCCATTGTGACCCTGCCTCCAGGGGAGCCCAGAAACAACAAACTTTACAGCTGTCATCCTCCCACGGCAAATTTGGGGACTAGTGGACTTTTGCTTTTGATGTAGCAACCAATACCCTCTCTCTCTTCAGGAACTCCACTTACTAGATCCTTATTAGACCTGCTCTTTAAAAATCTATATTAATCATTTGCTTCCTAATATGACCTTGCATCATCATGCTACTTCTCCCAATTATGTACTTGTTGAGCCTTATCTTTAATTGCAAAATGAAAATATGAAGTCTCAGAGAGGAAGCAGAGTCTCATCCTTCATGATCAACAGGTGAGGATGGTCCGATATACAACCTGGGCTTTCCACGTTGATGAAACTGTGCACTATACAGGAGCTCAAATTTGTGGGTTTTCTAAAATGGCAGTAGGCTTGCCAATGGAGCTTTTATACTAGTGGAAGTAGCAAGTAGGAAGATAATAAGGTAAAAGCTAGTCACTTTTCTTCTGAGTAATTTCTTTAATTGAGTGAAGTTAAGATAGGGTAGGATTGCATTTGCAAAAAATGTTAATTCTTTCGGCAAATATCTATTAAGGTTATACCATATGTCAGGCACTGTGCGAAGTGCTGGTGGTTGTCTTAGGCTGGGCTTCCTCAGAAACAGACCTTGAGGTTAGGATTTAAGTAAAAGTGGTTTTGAATTGGGAAAGTTATCCCAGGAAGTACTGTAAGGGGAGTGAGAAAGTGAGACAGAGAAAAGGAAAAGACGTTGATATAGGGTGTATTCATGAGCAGGGTACCACTGTGGGCAAGGGGGACTCAATCCACTGGGAACCTCAGGGGCAGAAAAAGCATGGAACTCCCTTAGGGCTGGAACACTGAAGGACAAGGAAATGTGTAATGCTGTTGGGATGGTTGATCTGCACTTCTGGCCTGCCACTGTAGCAGTGGAGCAAATACCCTGTGGTTACTGCAACTGCTGCTGCTGCCCCAAGACTACTGCCCCCTCCTCCCAACCTATAAATACCCTGTTCCTTCCTCTCCCTACTTAAAGCTGAGAGGGAGGATCTGTGAATTTCAATTATCCCTATTCTCTGCTCTTTACAATGTTAAGCTGCCTCTACCCTTTGTAGCTTTCCATCCATATTTCATAGGATGATGGAGTTTTTGCCTTCAGCTCCTTTCTTTACAATTCATGACAACTACTGTTGATTTATTCCCTTATAGGTAACTGGTTTAAGCAGCCTTTGAGCCCCAGTGGAAGTCCTCTGTTGAAATGAATTGATTAGGCTTCCTCTAAGGAAGAGATGCGGTAAGAATCCTCCCAGTGGGACATTTGCTTTGGCTTTTTTGTTTTTGTTTTTTGGCAGTGGAGATTTAGTCTAACTACACATCACTCCTGGCTCACTGAGGACAATACTGGGACATTTGCAGAATGGCTGGTCAGAGTTAGGGGTACTGTCAGGCCAGCCCCTAACATTAGTGAGCTTGGGCAAGAGTACAAATGCAGCCCAACTTATCATATGTCTAACTATTTCAAAGTTATTAAGCAAACAAACTACTAAATGTTATATCTTCCTACCTTGACAATTATAACAACCAGATTGAAAAATAAGAAAACCTATAGTTTTAATATGACAAAAAGCAAAATGTCAAGGATAAGTGAATTATGCGTATCCTCTAGAGATTATGCTTATCTAGATTTTCTGTTGATAGACTATGTGGATAAATAGTAAATATATATATATGTAATTCATATATTATAGATTTGTTCCATAAAATTGATATTTTCCTTTATTTAGTAAAATCACTCTGTTGTTATAATCAAGATTTTCACATAATTTGTGTTTCATTAACAGTAAAGATCCAAACCTGTGCTGTTCTGCGTGGTAGCACCTAGCCAAGTTTCAGTTGTTTTTTTCCTCAGTGGTACTAGCTACATTTCAAGTGCTCAGTAGCCACATGTGGCTAGAGCTACTGTATTAGACAGCATAGATAGAGAATATTTCCATCATCCCGGAAAGTGCTATTGGACAACATTGATCTAAAGGATTAATGTATTCAAATCATATAAAATTTGAGCATATATTTTCTCTAAGATGTAAATTAATTTTTTATTTCAAAAAATTAGAATTAATTTCCTATAGTTGTTGAAAATCATGTTCTTCCAAGGGATTCAAAGTTATCTATTAGAATTAAAATTTAAAATACAAATTATTACTCTAAATATCAGCATGGAAATAAAATTCTTTTTAAGAAGCTTAATAATTTTATTAAACATTTGAAAATTTAATTATGTCTTATGAATGTGAAAATAAAACAAACTTATTAGCAATTCTAGCATTCAGTGTCCACATGGTTGCTGATGTAAAGAATCAATGTCATGTTTCACATGTTATAACTACATATTTACCATTTTAAAAGTAACATATATTAATTTTACAAAATATTGCTCAACGGCCATGTTCAGCTGCATGCAAATACTATGTTAATGTGTGACTTCCTCCAGGACCATGAACTGGACCACAAAGAAAAGCAAGAAAATGGATATTTGGCACTGTTGGGAAACAATACTCATTATCTAAGACTGCAGCATACACTTGCTGTCTGAAAGGAAGGATCTGACAGTTTAATTCATATGACTATTCTTTTAATCAAGTACTTCTATTATACGATCCATGGACCTAGGAGTGTCCGTCTTCCATGTCAGCAGCAGCACACCCTGCAAATCTTTGAGGTGCAGGGTGCAGTCACCGTTTGTTTCAATGGCATGGGGCAATAGTGGAGAAGTGTTTCTCTGGGGCCTGAACAGTGCTGGTTTTGAAAGCAGATGTTTAGGGTTATGTTTTATGCTCTCTCAGCACTGAGCACAGACTCCTATTGATAGAGGTGACTATATATTCCTTAATAAACTTATTTTTATAGGTTCATGATTCCCAGGGCAAGAGCCCATCCTGCCAGGTCGGTGGGCAGAATTGCTGGCTGTGCTTGTACAGTGAGTAATGGCACCTTTGGCAGTAGCAACTTTTCCTGAGATTTGTCCAAACCCCATTAAAGGCAAAATGTAAATATTAAAAATGAAAACTGATCTGACCATAACCCACCCCTACCTATTCGAAATAGTATGTTGAATTTGGAGGTTAGCCCTGTGTGGAAAGTTCCTAAGCCATCCACAATATCACCTCACCTGTCAAAAAGCATAGACAAAATGATAATTTAAATACCTCCCAAGGTCGCTTATTAGTGACCCACTAGAAAAGGAAAAGATTGTCATTTTTTCATTGCTCATGCTTTCTTCTCTAGACCTTGCTGAAATGATTACTTCCCATTTTTAGATGCACGTTGGGATCATGAAAGAGTATTTTAAGATGAATAGAAAATGTAAATAAGCACCTCTGCATAGGTTTCCACAATGATGTATTCTCTTTTGTTTATCAAGGATAGCATGTTGTAGGAAGGAAGGAAGGGAGGGGGGGAGGGAGGGAAGGAGAGAGGGATAGAAGGAAAGAGAAACAGAGAGAGCTAGCTATAAATTTGGAGTCCAACTTGATTTGAATCCCAACTGTGTAAGTTAAATGAGTTCATTTCCACTTCCTAACTTGTAGCAATGGTATTATATGGTATTATATGTGAAAGCTCTGTGTAAACTCCGAGGCACTAAGCACACTTGGTTATTTATTATGTCAGTCTCTGATTAAGCAAAGCTGAGTAGTACCTCATCCCACTCCCTACTCCTCTCACCCCTATTCCCCTTTGCCTCTGAGCAAGGTGTGAGCCACACGCAGCAGCTGGGACTCTACCATGTGGTATGTGGATCCCTGAATCCACTCACACTCACCATTTGCATCTACTGAACTTCAGACACCAGAGAAGCAAATAGAACTTTTCACCCAGAAGTGACTTCGTTTCATAGCTTCCCTCATCTTTTGAATGTGTATACGTGAAACCAGAGAGAATGGGATGAAAGTGAAAAACACATCATTAGTTTTTCACGGGGTCAGAAGAAACCAGGTCATTTAAACTTTCACCAGTAAAGCCCTGTTCTCACCTGAGCAGATGAACAAATGAGAGCAGGTGCCCTCTTTTGTGGCTGTTCAGATCCTATCTAAGGTCAGAACCTGTCACTGACAAAAGGCAAAGCTCATCCAAGCATAGTTCAAAGTCACTTTGGTATAAAGGCTTAAACCACTAGGATGAATTTTTAGATGCCCTAGGAATTCCTTCTCACGGCCTGATTAAAAAGGGAGAGGTAATAGGTTTTCATTCTTTGCTTTGTCCTCATTATCCTCAGAATATAAATTATTCTCCTACAATGTTGGTACTGGGGCAATGCATTCTTTGTAAAAATCTCAACCTTCACACTGTTAGCCTATGTGACCCTGGACAAGTCACTTAACCTCTCTGTGCTTCAGTTTCCTTATCTGTAAAACAAAGATAATCATTGTACCTACTTCAATGTGTTGTTGTGAGGATTTAAATATTAATGCAAAGTCCTTATACCAGTTCCTGGCACATCATTCATGATATATAAGTTGATGTTATTAACCAACAATTTCTAAATCAAATACTAAAGAGAGTCTCCCATGCACAAAGTTCTGTGCTGGAGTTCTATACAGAAGCAGATGGGATAGAAATATCTAACTGATCCCAGTTACCATTTAGATAGAAAGACTTTCCAACAGATCTTCCAGTACTTCCTCATCACACTGTTCTTCCTGGGCATAATAAGGTTATATCGGCTGCCAGACCCTGCAACAGACTATATCCAGTAGAACCACATGGTTTCTCATGGCAGGCCCTTTGTCTTTCCCCACAAAATAATACTAATTATTCTGCAGGGCAGATTCTACAAGGTGATCTCAATATACTATACAAAAAATTTATGATTATTTCAGCTATGTATGGACCTGTATTCTTAGGACCAGTAGATTCAGGAAGTGACCTGCTGAACTATCTGATCCCCTCTGAGAATCGTTTTGTATACTCTTCATAGAACTACACAGGTTTCCCGGTGACTCCCCTGCCCCAAGTGTGGGCAGAACACAAGGGCTGCCTTTACACCAAGGGGCCTTCTGAGGAAACAGGTCATGCTGTACCCTTTCCTTCCTCTCCTATATCCTGGACTAGGGGAAACAACTGCCTACACAAAAGCGATCCTCTGATCAGAATAGCCTGTCTGCCCTGTCCCCCTGGGACAGGAGAGGCCGGGGCAGGCCTTTTCCTGTCCGGAAGCAGGAGCAGTCTACATGACCAGGGCAGTAGCAACAGTGTAGACATGGTAACCACTGGCCCATACACATATCCGTGATAGTTTTCAGGCTGGTTAATCATATATGGAGAAAGAAAAGTGAAAAAGCTAATTTCTGAAGGGTTTATCAGAGACCTTTGGAGGTCACTGCACAGTCTTTCTACTTCTTTTGTTCAAGTTGCCAAGAAGTCCTAGAAGAAAATGCTTTCTGCAAATTTTTAGAGCTGGGAAGTTTTCAAGATCTGCTGGCTCACTCAAAGAGTGCGAAATGACACTTCACTGAATCACAGTCAGTTCAAAGGCACAGGCAGCAGCTCACCAAGCGGCATCTACTTTCCACGTGGGGGTTCATTAAAGGAGAGAGTGTCTGTCTTTGTGTCTCCCTTTTTGCCCAGAGGCTTTGAACTAACGTTTCGTATTAGTTCTTGTGCCTTTGTATGAGACAACTGTTTTTCCCAAAACAGTTTGGAGGTTAGTCAGATTTTCTAAAACTCAGGGTGGAAATTATGGTTCTTTATCATGTTCCCATGGATTCTTATTTTCTTTTTATTTCACTTTCTTTAAAACAAATCCTTTGAAGTCGATAGGTATATTCCTTAAAGCTCAGCTTGACTAATACTATTAAGAAACTCTGTACTAACAATGTCAGTCTTATCTCAGATTAAATTATTGCAACAATGGTGTCCTAGGTCCTGTGATCTGTAATAAGGCTGGGTTTCCAACAGAATATGAAAAAAAAAAAATTCAGTGCTAACATCAAAGAAAAGATCATCTTTACTCTCTCTTCATCTTTGATATTTTAAAGTTTCCAAATGTTGCGGTTTGAATTGACAATTTCTCGACAGTCATTACTGTCAAGATGAGACAAGCTGTGGAGGAAAACATTCAAACTTATCTCAGTGTGTTTTCTAAGCTAACATTTATTGAACTCTTACTATGAACAAAGCATTTAGCTAGGGCATTAAGACTCTAAAAGACATGCATGGTTGTTATGCCTATTTTAGAGATGAGGAAACTGAGGCTAAAATAGAGAATGGTGTCGATATTATAAAGATAAGGCAGTG